GGGACCCGACCGGGTCAGCAAGGCAGAAGCCTTCTGTTTTGGAAACCCGACCTGGTTTCCACCGGGTTTGTGTTCTGTGAAGGAGACCCGACCGGGTCAAATAAGAGACCCGACCGGGTCAGGCGACGGGAATTTTAAAAACAGGCTTAATTTTGGGCCTGCGGCTCTAATCTCAGTTTAGGTTTTCCTAAACCTATTTAAACGACTCTTATGTACTTGTAAACCTCTCGGGACGCTGATAATAATACATACTCTCTCTCGTTCGCCGTGGACTAGCGTAATCACCCCGATTGCGTGAACCACGTTAATTCTTGTGTTCTTGCTCTTAATTTATCGTTTATCTTTGCCTAATCGTAACATCTTCTTATTGCTTTGAATGGTCTACTAACTCCTCTACAAAATTATAAGATACGTAGTAACATATTAGTCCACTTAAATTAATATTCATAGAACCATTAATTTTTTGACCTATCTATAAAATAGCATACTGCGTATAATATATCATTAAACTCAATAAATTAAATGAGAGTGTGAGTATTACATCTAGTATGAATCCATTATGCTCCAAGCAAGTTCCAAAATGAGCCAAAGTTCTCTAATAATTCTGAGATATTTTTACATGTATATCATTATTTTTGGATCTATGGCTAATCCCGCCATGTGCCGTTTCTGCTGTCATCTTAATTAAATGCTTGTCTCTCCTTGTTTTGGTAGGTATGTATGTTGAAACAGTTTCCAACTGCAGCTTTTGCCCTCCTTCACTCTGTTAGTCCGAGTACTTGAGTATCCGTCTGTCAGGCATTCTTTTGCCCATCAAAGTTATATGGAGAGGCTGCTGCTTGATCCATACCTGTTACACTTCTTTTGCATTGCATGTTTATGTGCTGTGTTCTTTTTGCAGTTGCCAAACGTCAAATTGTGTTAGTAAATTGCATTAAATGGTCATTTTGGGGCAATTTTTTGAGTGGGGTCCCCTTCCGATTTGGGTCGGGTTAAAGTGGTTTCGGATTGTCCTTACTTAGGGCTACAATTCGATATATGGTACACTCAAAACGGATAACGGGTGAATGGAAAATTTATTTTTGAAGTTCACTCGTTGGAATGGAGAAAACTAGGAAAATGATGGGTTTCTAGTATGGTTTTTCCCACACCGGAAAACCCAAGGGAATTTGAACCCTTTATAAAGGGACACCCCCCTTAAGGAGTTAAGATTCCTTAGGGTAAAGGCTCTCTCCACGCGCGCAGGGGGTGCGAATCAAATCCTGAAATTGGAGAACAAAAAGCCCAACTTGCGTATGCGGGCGACCTGCGGATACGAATGTTGTCCGAAATTTCTATGTTCTGACGATAAACGTTAATTTTTGTTCCTCCGTTAATTTCCTAATTTTGCTCCAGGTTAGAGCAGGCTGCTGCTCCCGGCAGTAGGCTGCGCAGCAGGCTACTGCTCTATGCAGTGTTGTGAACGCCCGCAGCAGGCTACTGCTGGAACGTTTCAACACATAAATGCCCAACGTTCCTTTGCAATAAATGGACGGTTTTTGGACGAATCAATGCCAACGAGCTGGACATTGATTACTAACGTTCATATCCATTAAATCTTCATTAACACACCTCCAAATCCTTCCTATAGGTAGCTGGCAGGTGATTTGCAACAACACACCACTCACACGCGTACTCACGCATTTGAGCTTCAGAAAAACACCTCCAGTTTCCGAAATTCCTTCTGTGTTCTAAGCTTTGTTCTCGTTTGTTGGAACTTTAGTTTGAGTGCTAAACTATTGTTCGAAGTCATCGTATCCTGGGAAACGATCGTTGCAACGCTCCTAGCACCCCGGGAGGCATCGAATACATTTTAAGGAAATCGTGCGTAGCACGAGCTTTGGCTTACTCTGCTTCATCTCATTTCTTGCTTTTCTTTGAGTCATTTTATATAAATAATTTTTATTCATTAATTTTCTTTATTTTCCGAAACACACCCAACACTTTCTATGTCCAAGTCAATGTTAGCTTTCGTTTTATTATTTTTAAAAAAGTGTATTTGGAGTGTTTCACGAATTGCACTAACTTTGACCGCAATTCTTGAAACAGAAAGGAATTGTGGTAACAAAAGTTGGAATCAACCAATTTAGTTTGGATTAACCAAATAGCATCACAGAGGTTTCCCACCCATATAAGAGTAAAAATAAGGAGTTTAATTTTCCATAAGAGTTTTATATTCTTTCTATTTAATTAAAAGTGTATTGTAATTACCATACTAATGATACTATCGTCTTTTGAATGCCTGATAATGTCATAATATGATACCATGACAGCATAATTGAAGCACAGATAATCTTTTGCACCTATTTGGGGGAAGTGGGGAACATGGTTCTCCTAAAAGAAAGCATATAATTTTTATTCATATTTTGAGAAAGTTTATATAATATACTTGTATATGGCTTTAGCTCCTTGGTTTTAGGTATTCCGGTATTTATTGGGTCATTTTTAATAATTTTCCATCCTGGAGCTTGTGCATGCAATGTTGTTATTGCTCTATCCTGCTATTCCCAAGCAAGGGAGGCAAACAGAATGTGGGAGTGCTTAGAGGCTAGAGCAGCAACATTTTAGGTTGGAAACAATGAAGTTTGTTGGTGCTATTCGCTATTGGAATGTTACAAGCTTGCAACCTATTAAAATGCAGTCGGACTTGAGCAGATAGTTATTTAAGATCCACATATAAAGCAAAATATGAGGATTGTGTGCTGTTGCTAGAGATGAGTCCAACTGCACAACCAGGACCGGAGCAGGGATGTTTTTGAGGGAGTGCAGGGTAAAAGAAAAATATAACATGTATAATCAAATACTGAATCAACATTAAATGATGTACTGGTATTCATTACCTTTGTGAACATGATTATTCAATATCGGTGGTCAAGTCGCGTTCAAGAGTTCAAAATATCGAATATCAAACCATTCGTTGATTTCAATTATGAAATACTTTGTTTGACGATTCTCAAAACACAAAGCGTCAATTTTTGGAGACATTCAAATGAGATGCAAAACATTCTGAACCATTACTTTTAAATAATTTTGAATAGTTGTTACGAATGGATTATGGAAATGATCAAAGAAAATGAATGATAAAATATGTAATACCCGGAGTATAAAGAAATAGACAAATTTACGTGAATCACCAACATTGTATTGACTACGTCCACCAACAAAAAGAAGAGCACATTTTATTGAGTGATAGAGTGCTGAGTATGATCGAGTCCAGGAACAGATGGACCGAGGGTTGGCTACCAGTTTACCACTTCTGGCACTTTTGGCTCGGCCAGCGCTGGTGGCAATTTGGAGAAGCGTGTAATTTCGGCCAATGGGGAGGCACCACCTATTCCCAGTCAAAGAGGGGAAAGAGATGCCAGAAATACCAGGTAGACAATGAAGTAGCATTTGGCCAATGTGGAGCGGGTATGTAGACCATCCCTTAAGTTACTGAATATAGGTGAGTTTTAAGGTAATTCCCAATGCTGGAAACAATTGAGGTTCCATGTCTACAATTGCACTTTGTTTTATAAAATCTATTCTCCAATGCGGTTGTAAATGGACTTCCAAAATCCGAGTTGGCAAAGTATGAAATCTAGCACAAGTTCTACATTGAGACCCGCGGTTCCATCAATTTTTCCTTTTTATTTGTTTTTCCCCTTTGCACTAGTGTCCTTCAAAATAGACCTTGGCCTTCTACTGATATTTAGTCTAGACCTTCTCCATTTGTTCGCCACATAAGCAGCAATGCAACATGAGCATTGGAGATGCTTTAATAGCTTGAAGAAGTGAGAGGCAGTCTAAGGAAAGATAAGATGAGCCTACAAGCATTGTCCATTTCCAGTCCTAAGAAGCAGTTGACACATCAACATTATGCTTGTCTGATCTGGGAAATCTCTATTCAAGCAAGCAGAATGCGCAGTTGGTACTTTATGCCTATTATAGCAGAAGAAAACCAACAATCAGCTACGTCTATACACAGGGACGGATCCAAGATTTCTATTCAAGGGGGGCGAAATTTTTCGGTACTGTAGGGAGTGAAAAAAATTTCCTTAGTGTAGTGGGGCGAAATTTTTCCCCTAGTGTAGCGGGGCGAATTTTTTCCACTACTGTAGGGCTATGCGGCTAATTTTATTCAAAAAATGACATTAATATATACACATCCCCAACAACATTTAAATCTATTAAGTTGTACATTCTAAGTTTAAATTAGATGATGACAAAGACACCAACCAATACATTTTTAATAACTTCTACATTGTTTAACCTCATGAATCGGTTATTATTGATTAATAATTTTTATCCGGCGACCAAGGAGGGTTTCGTGAGTCATGACTCATGAGAAATTTTCTTAATATTAGAATAGTAGTATGTATGATATTATTATTTTTAGAATAGTATGCACCACACACACATATTGTGCATATTATATTTTAATATTTGTATTAATGCTATAATAATTTAAAGTTTATTACCTATGCAATAAATTATTTTTAGAAAGCAAGAAGTAAATGAATTATGTAATTTAATGTCAATAAACATTTATATTTTGGATTCATTTCACGTGATCTAAAAACTGTGTAATTAGTGTGTCTGATATTTAATATTGTTTGATATATATTTTACAAAATCAAGTACTTGTTTTCTAATAAAAATTATTAAACATTACAAAACTAAGAATTCTTATATAATAAGTATCCTAAATCTTAAACAACGAGTTATTCTATTGTTTATTTGTTTAAGTTATGTAATTATTTTAGATGTTCCTTCTTTTAAATCTTCAATTAAGTATTACATTATGTAACACTATATATTACTTTTGAAAATTAAAAGCTAAGGGGGGCGAATCTAATTAAATTATGAAAGTTTTATGAAAATATTACATATATGGTAGAAAATTTTGAAAGTCCAAGGGGGGCGGTCGCCCCCCGCGCCCCCCCCTAAATCCATCCTTGTCTATACATATTATCACCGCAGATGCCATGACAGGCTTAAAGAATCACATTAAACAATCCAGATGTACAATACTACGTACAAAATGCAAATCCATTATGTGAAATTGAGACTAGCATCAGGAGTGCAAAAACATAAAGAAGAAATGCGGCAAATTTCATTGACATAGTTAAACTGAAGTTGTACTAAGCAGATACTGGTGAACGATTACACAACCAAACCCAAGTCCACAAAGATTTACATGAACTTAATACACCGCCTTGCAAGCCAAGAAGCATACTGTGACAAACAGCTAGGAGATCTTAATACTAGGAAACGCAAATCAAAAGAATACATAAGAGTTGGGGATTAAGCCCTCTCTCCGCGAATCCTCCTGGCAAGCTGCATATCCTTGGGCATTATGGTAACCCTCTTAGCATGAATGGCGCAGAGGTTTGTGTCCTCAAAGAGTCCAACCAGGTAAGCCTCGGCGGCCTCCTGGAGAGCCGACACAGCGCTGCTCTGGAACCTCAGATCGGTCTTGAAATCCTGGGCGATTTCCCGAACAAGTCTCTGGAATGGAAGCTTTCGGATCAAAAGCTCTGTGGATTTCTGGTACTTCCGGATCTCCCTCAGGGCAACCGTTCCTGGGCGGAAACGGTGGGGCTTCTTCACACCTCCGGTCGCCGGGGCTGACTTCCTGGCTGCTTTCGTCGCCAGCTGCTTCCGGGGAGCTTTTCCTCCGGTGGACTTGCGAGCGGTCTGCTTGGTCCGAGCCATTTGAGCGCCTAAAGATATGAAGTGTAGATTGCGGAATGGCTTTGAAATTGTGGTCTGTTTCGGAATCGTCTGGCTCCAATAATTTATAAAGGGTTTCGAGTGCGGGAAAGGCTGGGAATTTTGGAGGGGTTTGAAATTTTTGGTTTTGCTGGCACGAGTATTATCCGTTGATTAACTTTTATCTATCAACGGTGGAGATATGGTTGCTTCTCGTGATCCGGATCGCGAATGAATGGAAATCATGGCTTCAATAACGCTTCATCTATTACTTCCGGTCGCCGTTGGGCGTACTTCAACTTGTAACGTGTGGCTTTTTGCATTTTTTTCCTTTTACATGCACTAGATGTCTAGATAGTAGTAGAACACACTCATGCCTAGTCAATCAATAAGATAAAAATGTCTTTTTCATATTAAAAAAATGGAAAAGTTGACCCAAATAAAAATAAAATAAATTCAAAATACAAAAGTATGATTATAATGAAAAAAATGGCCTCTATATAACTATTAGATTTTTCAATTCCAAAACTATGACCTTTTTTCAATTTCCCAAAATTCTCACCTTATATCATTTATTATGGATGACTACTTGAGTTTAGGGCATCCTCATCTATAGATTATTTTTTGGATCATTTTAATGACATGGAGGTTTTTTTTTTTATCATGAATGAGGAGTTGAGATTATTTTATGAGATTATTTGATAAAATAATCTGGTATCAAATTCTAAAGCTGGATTATTTTGAGATTATTTCCAACTTTTAGACATTCTCAACTCCCAATACATTTACAGTTTTACACGCATGATGACTCTTGGAATTAAACTTTAAAGTAACCATTCTCCATGCCTTGCAAATCTTTTCTCGAGTAAACTATTAATTCCAAATTATGGCCGGGAACGGAAACCATATGACACTATTTCGTATTTGCAGTTTGTGCGCAATTTATATTTAACAGGAGATAAATATAGATCTAGTTAAAATCAAACTAGTGAAGATTGAAGGTTTGGAATATAGTAGTTGTTTGTATTCCCAGATATTTGTAATAACTTATTCATTATAATTGCGACTGCATATATAATTATATATGTAGTATAGTATAGTATTATAATAGGTTGATTTAGTGCATGTGTGCATTTTTCTACTACGTATGTTTTTCCAGGATTTGTTTTTTGCTTTTGTGTGCACATATATGTATATTATTAGTATATTTGTTACGTGTATATATGTAGAATATGAAGAGTGCTTGCGAGTGTACGTGGCTTGTGGGTACATTTAATGAATTAAGTGAGAGATATTGAATTTAATTGTATGTCCCATAAAAAATCTAGGTAAATTGAGATCTTGGTTGAGATTAAATTGATATGTTTTGAGATTATTTACGTGTCATAAAAAAATAGTTAATTTGAGTAGATGAATGGAGATGCTCTTAGTAAGTGTCTCGCGGACTTTCTGCCTTTCTTCGCTCTCATTAACTACATTTGATTCTTCCCTGCTCTTACTCTGTAACTACAAGCTTCATTATTTCCCTTCTGGATCACAAGTCTGGTGCTTTTCTGAGTTCATTTTTCATTTTATTTGGAATTGGATCCCTATCGTCTATGTTGCTATTCAAAGCAATCAACCGCTCGGTCGTAACATCTCGGGTAAGTGATTGTTCGAATTGAACTCCACATTTTCCATCTAATTTTTTTTGTCTACTCTTCTTTTCGATTTCTCTGTGTTTGTTATTCACAAACCCTAATCTAGAACTCATTTATTGGCACCTCAATGTTGAAGAATTGAAAATCAATTTATGTTTCAATACGTGTTTAGTTTAAGCTTCTTCTTCTTAATTGCATTATATGTTAACTAAATAGGGTGTTCATATGTGACCAACGTTGTGAATGTGTCGTCCCCATGTTTTACATCTGTGGGAACTCCTTGTCACTAGACACTTTACAACGACATTACTAGTATGGTTGGAGAGATGCTTTGTTTGTGTGACACATTGATGTCCATCTAAAAACAATCTCGTTGTATGATTACATAAAGACTGTGAACCAACATTGCACGTACGGTATTCTACAGTCTTAGCCGGAGCAATACTACTAAATGGAAATTCCATCTGCATTGCGTCAAACATCTTTAGCATTAGGAATCCACAATCACCGCTACAAAAAAGTAAATTGAGTATGAAAAGGCTTAGTAACTAGACAATTTAAAGGAAATTGAAAAAGATACGATATAAAGACAAGAAAAGGTACAACATTGTTACGATTTAGGTTAAGCAAACGATAAATTAAGAGCAAGAACACAAGAATTAACGTGGTTCACACAATCGGGTTGATTGTGCTAGTCCACGGCGAACGAGAGAGAGTATGTATTATTATCAGCGTCCCAAAAGATTTACAAGTACATAAGAGTTGTTTAAATAGGTTTAAGAAAACCTAAACTGAGATTAGAGCCGCAGGCCCAAAATTAAGCCTGTAATTAAAAATCCTGTCGTCTGACCCGGTCGGGTCTCTTATTTGACCCGGTCGGGTCTCCTTCACAGAACACAAACCCGGTAGAAACCAGGTCGGGTTTCCAAAACAGAAGCTCGGAGATCAACTGACCCGGTCGGGTCCTTCATCTGACCCGGTCGGGTCTCACATTCCAGAAAGTCCCCAGGTCTCTGCTTCAACATACCCGGTCGGGTCCTTCATCTGACCCGGTCGGGTATCAGTTCTGAAACTCTGAACAAGACTCCATCTTCAACAATCTCCCACTTGGAGGCTTGGTCAACAATTATCTGTCATCCAAAAACATGTACCTTCTGTAATACCCTTGATTTCTCTCTCTCTCTCTCTCTCTCTCTCTCTCTCTCTCTCTCGTCCACGCCTTCTCATCAAGTATCTGGAAGGCCCGTTGAAGCCATGCATAGCTTCAACTTCTCCGTTGTCACCACCTTGGTAAGCATGTCTGCTGGATTCTTCGTACCAAGGATCTTCTTCAAATTTATAGTACCATCTTCAATCAATTCTCGAATGAAATGATACCTCATCTTGATGTGTTTCGTTCTGCTGTGAAACACTGGATTCTTCGCGAGATGAATAGCACTCTGGTTGTCACAGTACAGACTACAATCCCCCTGTTTCATGCCCAACTCCGAAAGAAAGTTCTTCAACCAAATCATCTCCTTGGCCGCTTCAGCAATAGCCATATATTCTGCTTCTGTGGTTGAAAGAGCTACACTCTTCTGTAATCTGGACATCCAACTGATTGCCGTACCTCCAATAGTGAATATGTAACCCGTAGTGCTCTTCCCGGAATCATGACAGCCCCCCAAATCAGCATCTGCAAAACCTTCTAGAATTGCCCCATTCCTCCTGAAACAAAGAGCAGTTCTAGAGGTGCCTTTCAAGTAGCGTAGCAGCCACTTGACTCCTTCCCAATGTTCCTTCCCTGGATTTGACATAAACCTGCTAACAACTTGTAACACCGTCCCCAAATATATTTACTTTTATGTAAATAATGTATTGAACCTTACTAAGGGATTAATGAATTTACGAAGTTGTAAATTTTTATTATTTCTTTCGCGTGAAAAGTAAATTGCACGTGGGACCCACACCGGGAGCGGGGGCCGCCCGACATTCCCGAGACCATATATTTTATTCATCTTGGTCTAGATAATAAATATATAGTGGTGAATATTTCATTTGGACCATGGAAAGGCCCAGAGTTGACCGATTCGTCAAAAGAAGCCCAAATTACCGGTACTGGTAATTTAACTGATAACAGCCCGAACTGAATTTCGGAGGCTTATAAATTAAAGTTGGGGAATGTATATTCATTATACATGTCATAATGAGTAAGAGCACATAATACATTTTATTTGACCCGATAAAATAAAATATATTTAAAACAGTCCGAAAAATACAACTTTCGGGACCGATTGTACACTTCGGGACAAAAAGGGTTGACCTCCCACATGAGTGGGGGCCAACCCACGAATTTGGACACTCAAGGAGAGTGTTGGCCGGCTGGTGGGATAGGGAAGTATGGGGAGGGGATTGTGATATGAAGGAAATGGCATCAAAGGTACCTAAAGTGGACCCCCATTCTACACTCATTGGATTAATGAGACAAAAGCTCATCCCCATCCCCCTCTCTCCCTAATTTTCGGCCATCCCTCATCCAGCAAGAGCAAGAGAGCTTCCACCTTCCTTCTCCATTGTTGAAGAGAGCTCAACAAGAAGAAATCCCAAGAAAAGGAACTAAAGTGCTAAAAGTGTGAATAATTAAGGTAATGACCTTATTATAACTTCTTCTTCATTTTCTCCTACCATATGAGGTATATATCATGTGAAGGACCTTTAGTATGGTTCCACATGTTATGAGTATGGATTTATGGGATGGAAGATGGTTCTAAGTCCAAGAACGGACTTAGAAGCCAAAACGACCGGTTCACCGGGAAATGACCTTTTAGAGGTTATTTGTATTAATATGGGTTTTATGATTATAAAACCTTGTTAGGCACTTGTAAAGGGTGTTTCAAGTGATTTCACAAAGTTGGAAAAGTCGCCGGAGTTGTCGCCGGAGTTGACCAAAAGTCGCCGGAGTTTCACCGGAGTTCAACCAAGAAGGGTAGAACTTCATACGCTAGTTCAAGGTGAGTGGACGGCTTAATATCTTATAACTTTTGGGTTAATTATGAGATTACCTAAATAAATGTTATATGTTTTCATAATGATGTTTAAAAGATATTTAAACATGTGATTAGCCAACATTATCAAGTTGTATGAAAAGAATTAATTGATTATGCATGAAATATGATATGAGAGATTATATAAAATGCACATTAGCTTGAAGTGTAAAAGAAGCTCAAATGAGTGTTATTGACTTAATTATATGATGATTAAGTTGATATGAACAAGGCTTGAATTGGCGGTCAACGACAACGTTGACCGATGGATGATGGATTAATTAATATCGGTTGATGTTAGTTAATTATACATTTATTTAAATGCATGGCTTTGCATGGATTGTGATACATAAGAATTATGTATTGGATTAGTTATGAGTAACTAAGGATGATATAGACTCTATCTAGGTTGATAGGAGGTTGATCATAGGAAAACTTGGTGGAGGACCCTAGTACTTAAGAAGTACTTAACACTCAAACTTGGTGGAGGACCCTAGTACTTAAAAAGTACTTAACACTCAAACTTGGTGGAGGACCCTAGTACTTAAAAAGTACTTAACACTCAAACTTGGTGGAGGACCCTAGGACTTAAAGTCCTTAACACTCAAACTTGGTGGAGGACCCTAGTACTTAAAAAGTACTTAACACTCAAACTTGGTGGAGGACCCTAGGACTTAAAGTCCTTAACACTCAAACTTGGTGGAGGACCCTAGTACTTAAAAGTACTTAACACTCAAAACTTGGTGGAGGACCCTAGTACTTAAAAGTACTTAACACTCAAACTTGGTGGAGGACCCTAGGACTTATGAGTCCTTAACACTCACAAACCGGTGGAGTATCCAAGGATTATGATCCTAAAACTCATAGATTGTGATATACAAGTAGGGACAAGGAGGAGTCCTATACACTCATAGGTATATGGGTGGGTTGGGGTTTTTAGTCAAGAATATTGACTATTACTATTTTCCCGAATAAAATGGTGATCTACGGATCGGATATTTTCCAAGTATATATATACTAATAAGTATTTCATAACTTGGGGGAAAGATTATTTATTTAAGTATCACCCTATGTTTGGGTCTTATACTTGAAACGCTAGTTATTCTATATTTAGCCTGCTACTCGCTCGGTACTTGTACTGACCCCTTCGGGGGGCCCCACCATTTTCAGGTTGAAGCTAGAGCTTGCTACTTGCACCTTCTCACGGGTGATATCAAATCAGGGAGACGTGGTTCGTGCTTCCTTATTTTCTTTCAAACTACCGAACACTTGCTCATGGATATTTGTTTTACTACAAACTATTTTTGGGGCTTGCATGCCCATGTTGTCGGCCGGTTGTGGCCCATGACTTACCGTTGAATATTTCCGCTATTCATTGGTTTAATGTGATGTTGTTATGTATGTTTACTACTGAGTATGGATGGATTGTTTTCTCGAACGCCTTGTGTAATTAAGTGAGGTTGACCCGTGGGTGACGTCACTTAGTTATACGGCGGTTGTACACGCGCTTGGATTGCGGTCTGGGGCGTGACAATTAAGTGGTATCAGAGCCATCTCAGTTCTAAACTATATAATCAACCTCTCACAAAAGAATTTGCAAAAGAGTTTTTACCGAAAACCATGAGCATTGTATTTTGACGTTTATAGGACTATTGGTGCTTAAGTTGCAAGGCCTCTAATTGTTAAGACGGTACCCTTAACAATTGGTATGGTAGTGACTTGGGCCAATACGTGTCTATAACGTTCTTCCGTCAATTGACATTTATAGGAGTCTAATGACTCATCCATATTCCTTTCAGAAATTGAGGGCAGGCGAATGAGGACCAGGAACAATCCGAGGGGGCAGGCGCCGGTAGCATCCCAAAGGGGAAGCCGGGCTGCATCTCGGGGTTCGAGAGGAGGCCGGGGAGGCCGTGGAAGCCGTGGAGGTCATCAAGCTCAAACTGTGAGTGATGGCCATGTGAGCTCGGTGTATGAGACCAACACCGAAGACTACGACTCAACCTACGTGCCAGAGACGGAGCATGAAGAGACCCCGTATGATGGGGGTGACACGTACACCGATGATGATGATGAAGAGAGTGATGCCAAGTTCGCCCAAATGGGCGAATTGCTTGAATGGTATCAAAAAGAAAAATTGAGGAGGGACCTTAGGCGCCAAGCGAGGCGTGGCTCTCGCGGTGGTTCGGGTCAAGGAAGCCGGGGAGCTTCCGTGGCCACCCCAGCGGCGTCACAAGGTGGGCGTGAAGGAGGTTTTGTCGTGAGAATCTCCAAGTACCTCAAGGAGGCTAGGGCCTTGGGGTGTAGGTCCTTTGACGGCACCGGTGACATTACCGTTGCCGCCGATTGGATCAAGAAGGTGAAGGATGCATCAAGGGACATGCAAATCACACCGGACGTGAAGTTGACTGTCGCTTCACGGCTCCTTGAAGGGATAGCTTCTACGTGGTGGGAGAGCGTGGAAGGGAAGTACCATGGGGAAATAACATGGGCGGACTTTGAGCTAGAGTTCTATGCTCAATACTACTCCGAGTACGAGGTGAATGTGAAACGGAGAGAGTACACTAACCTCAAACAGAAAGAGGGCGGCACAGTTAAGCAACTGGAACAAGAGTTTAGAACCTTGGCTAGGTTCTTGCCGGAGTACGCGGTTGATGAGAACCGCATGACGGAGCACTTTTGGGATGCCCTACTCTTGGACATCCGTGACCGAGCTACGTACTCGCGCCACATGACCTTCAGCGAGGTGGTGGAGCAGGGCCTTCTCGGGGAGGCCCAATGGAACGAGAGAAAAGAGAGAGACGCCGAGGAGGCGAAAAAGAGGAAATGGCAAAGTTCGGGGCCGCCCGAGCAAGCACGGAAGGATAAGCACGGTGGAGGTGGCGGTTCGTTCAAAACACCGGCACCACCGGCAAAGAAGAACAAGGATGCTCGGTGGCATGCATCCTCCTCCCAAAAGACGGGACCCCCTAGGTGTGCTAATTGTTCGAAAAATCACTTTGGGAAGTGCAATGCACCCCCAAGGTGCTATCAATGCGGGAACACGGGCCACATGAAGGCCAATTGCCCACAATTAGGGGGTGGAGGAGCTTCGGGATCCGGAGGAGGAACCATGACGGGAAGAAACCGTGCGGGACCGTCAAACGGCGGTACGGGAAGAGGCAACGCATCCACAAGTCATGCCGCGTCCGTAAATCAAGGCGGGACCCAAGCACGAGTGTACGCAATGACCGAGGCGGATGCGCGAGCAAACCCGGACTCCGTTGCAGGTAATACACTTATCTTCCTATATTTCTAGGCTTATTTGGGTCATATGAGTCATTGGGTTCGGGTGCGGGCCACCCCGGGGTCAAACCCCGCGAATTCGGGGCGAAACGGGCTAAAAACAACTACGCGCGATCGCGCGTACCTACAGACGCACGACCGTGCGTGCGAGGCAGTAGCCTCTGGCCGTTTTCCGCGCAGACGCACGCCGTGCGTGCAGGTCAGGCACGCCGTGCCTGGGACGCACGATCGTGCGTGACCAGCTACGCACGATCGTGCGTAGCCGGCAGTGGCGGATCTCTGATTTTCAAGCACGCACGACCGTGCGTGCCACCCAGGCACGCCGTGCGTGGACCCCCCAACACCCGAAACTTGATTTTTTCGCCCCGTTCTTCTACGTTTGGACCCCCGTTTGATTCCAAACACTAGTATGAGCCTAATAACCTCCTAAAAATGTGTAAAAACATTAGAAAATGTATCTTACATGGGGTATAAATGTAGGAACATTAAAGATCAATGGTAGGTGTGCGAGGATCCTCATCGATACCGGGGCACAACGCTCATTTGTGAGTGAGGCGTTCGCCGAGGGCCTTGACGTGCCATTGACACCTATGACGCAAACATTGCTAGTTTCCACACCGTTAGGAGACGACGTGGAGAGAAATCATTACTATCCGTCGTGCGAGGTAGAAGTGACGGGTCAACCTTTGACTTGTGATTTCGTACCTCTAAGCATGTTGGAGTTCGATGCAATCCTAGGAATGGATTGGCTCGAGAAACACCATGCTCGAGTAGATTGCTACACCAAGGTGTTAGAGCTCGAGGATGATCAAGGAAACACACTATGTTTCGAGGGAGATCGGGGGAAATCTAATGCTTGTATAATATCCGTGATGAGAGCACGGAAGATGATGAGGAAGGGATGCCACGCATACCTTGCCTACGTGGTGGACGATACCAAGAAGGAAGTCGACATCAAAGATGTACGGGTCGTGTGCAAATACCCGGATGTCTTTCCCAAAGACCTACCGGGGCTTCCACCCGATAGAGAGATAGAGTTTGTAATTGAAGTGGAGCCGGGAACCAAACCCATTTCGATTCCTCCTTATCGAATGACACCGGCCGAACTCCAAGAGTTGAAGGTCCAACTACAAGAATTACTGGACAACGGGTTCATCAGACCCAGTCATTCACCGTGGGGGGCACCCGTACTCTTCGTGAAGAAGAAGGATGGTACACTAAGAATGTGTATTGACTACCGACAGTTGAACAAGGTCACAATCAAGAACAGGTATCCCTTACCGAGGATTGATGACTTGTTTGATCAACTTCGGGGGGCAATAGTGTTCTCAAAGATTGATTTGAGGTCGGGGTATCATCAGTTGAAGATCAAGGAGAGCGACATACCTAAGAGTGCATTCCGCACTAGGTATGGTCATTACGAGTTCCTTGTGATGTCATTTGGTTTAACCAACGCACCGGCAGCATTCATGGACTTGATGAACCGTGTGTTTAGTGAATACTTAGATCAATTTGTGATAGTATTCATTGATGATATCTTGATATATTCCAAGAGCGAGGAGGAGCACGAACATCATTTGAGGCTTATACTTGATCGGCTAAGGGAAAAGCAACTCTTTGCCAAGTTCTCCAAATGCGAATTTTGGCTTAAGGAGATTGGGTTCCTTGGTCACGTCATATCCGGTTCGGGCGTTGCTGTGGATAACGCCAAGATAAAAGCTATCATGGATTGGGAGAGACCCAAGAATGTGAAAGAGATACGTAGTTTCCTTGGCCTAGCAGGATACTATCGTAAATTTGTTGAGAAATTCTCCGTATTGGCGTCTCCATTAACGAAGCTCACAAAGAAGGGGGCCAAGTTCATATGGGACGATAAGTGTGAAAAGGGGTTCCTTGAATTGAAGAAACGACTTACCGAAGCACCAGTCCTTGCCCTACCCATACAGGGGATAGGGTATGACATCTACAGCGATGCTAGCACCCAAGGGCTTGGATGTGTACTAATGCAAAACGGTAAGGTGATTGCCTATGCTTCTAGGCAATTGAGGAAACACGAGGTGAACTACCCTACTCACGATCTAGAGTTGGGGGCGGTAGTGTTTGCATTGAAGATTTGGAGGCATTATCTCTACGGGGAGACGTGTCACATTTATACTGATCATAAGAGCTTAAAGTATGTGTTCACTCAGAAAGAGTTGAATATGAGGCAGAGGAGATGGATGGAGTTGATCAAGGACTATGACTTGATCATCGACTATCATCCCGGAAAGGCCAATGTAGTGGCCGACGCACTGAGTAGGAAGAGTACGTCAGGGACATTACTTACTTGTCTACGAGTATTGAGGGCACGCGTGGAGGTGTCCACGACCGGGGCGCTCATTGCTAGGTTCGAGGTGAGGCCTACATTGCTGGGTGAGATCAGTAGATGTCAGGCCATTGATGAGGAATGTCAGAAGATCCGCGAACGGATCCTTGAGGGGCCCGTCGAGAATTTTCGGGTACGTGATGACGGTCTTTTGTTATTTAAGGATCGTGTGTGCATACCAAAGAATGAGGAGCTCCAGAAGTCTATACTTGAGGAGGCTCATTCTTCAGCATATGCTATGCATCCAGGAGGTACTAAGATGTACCGAGATTTAAAGGAAAGTTACTGGTGGTCAGGCATGAAGAGAGACATCGCCGAGTATGTGAGTCGATGCCTTACTTGTCAGCAGATTAAGGCAGAACATCAGCACCCGGCAGGGCTTTTGCAGCCGCTCACCATCCCAGAGTGGAAGTGGGAGCACGTGACCATGGACTTCGTGGTGGGGCTACCACGAACAGTGAACAACTATGATGCAGTTTGGGTAGTGGTTGATAGGCTCACCAAGAGTGCACACTTTTTACCTATCAACATTACTTATCCTCTTGAAAGATTGGCCAAGCTATACACGGAGGAGCTTGTGAGATTACATGGAGTCCCGATATCCATTGTCTCGGATAGGGATCCACGATTCACATCCCGATTTTGGCCAAAGTTTCAAGCATCGTTGGGTACTAAACTGAAGTTTAGCACAGCTTTTCACCCACAGACGGATGGACAGTCCGAACGGGTGATACAGATTTTGGAAGACATGCTTAGGGCATGTGCTCTGGAGTTCCAAGGAAGCTGGGACAAGCATTTGGCTCTGGTAGAGTTTGCTTATAACAACAGTTATCAAGCAAGTATCGGCATGCCTCCATACGAGGCGTTGTACGGGAGAAAATGCAGAACACCGTTGTGTTGGGACGAGGTTGGCGAGGCCAAACTCGAAGGGATAGAGCTGGTTGAGATCACCAAGGCTAAGGTAAGGATCATTCGGGATAGATTGAAGGCTGCTCAGGACCGACAGAAGAGTTATGCTGATAAACGGCGGAGACCGTTGGAGTTCAAAGTCGGTGATGAGGTCTTCCTAAGGATTTCTCCTTGGAAGGGCATCATTCGATTTGTATCGAGGGGAAAGCTTAACCCCCGATACATTGGTCCGTTTGAGATCCTTGAAAGGATCGGGGCCGTGGCTTACCGTCTCAAGTTGACGCCTGAACTTGAGAAGATACATGACGTGTTTCATGTATCAATGCTCAAGAAATACATACGAGACCCATCTCATATTCTTGAGAAACCACCGGTAGAGATCCGTGAGGACTTGCAATATGCGGTGGGACCAGTGAAGATTGTTGGTCAACAAGTGAAGAAGCTTAGGAATAAGGAGATTCCTATGGTAAAGGTTCTTTGGAGAAGTGATCGAGTCGAAGAAGAAACTTGGGAGACCGAGGTCTCAATGAGGGAGCAATACCCATTTCTTTTCGATTAGATACTTGGATTTCGGGGACGAAATCCCAAATAAGGGGGGGTGAACTTGTAACACCGTCCCCAAATATATTTACTTTTATGTAAATAATGTATTGAACCTTACTAAGGGATTAATGAATTTACGAAGTTGTAAATTTTTATTATTTCTTTCGCGTGAAAAGTAAATTGCACGTGGGACCCACACCGGGAGCGGGGGCCGCCCGACATTCCCGAGACCATATATTTTATTCATCTTGGTCTAGATAATAAATATATAGTGGTGAATATTTCATTTGGACCATGGAAAGGCCCAGAGTTGACCGATTCGTCAAAAGAAGCCCAAATTACCGGTACTGGTAATTTAACTGATAACAGCCCGAACTGAATTTCGGAGGCTTATAAATTAAAGTTGGGGAATGTATATTCATTATACATGTCATAATGAGTAAGAGCACATAATACATTTTATTTGACCCGATAAAATAAAATATATTTAAAACAGTCCGAAAAATACAACTTTCGGGACCGATTGTACACTTCGGGACAAAAAGGGTTGACCTCCCACATGAGTGGGGGCCAACCCACGAATTTGGACACTCAAGGAGAGTGTTGGCCGGCTGGTGGGATAGGGAAGTATGGGGAGGGGATTGTGATATGAAGGAAATGGCATCAAAGGTACCTAAAGTGGACCCCCATTCTACACTCATTGGATTAATGAGACAAAAGCTCATCCCCATCCCCCTCTCTCCCTAATTTTCGGCCATCCCTCATCCAGCAAGAGCAAGAGAGCTTCCACCTTCCTTCTCCATTGTTGAAGAGAGCTCAACAAGAAGAAATCCCAAGAAAAGGAACTAAAGTGCTAAAAGTGTGAATAATTAAGGTAATGACCTTATTATAACTTCTTCTTCATTTTCTCCTACCATATGAGGTATATATCATGTGAAGGACCTTTAGTATGGTTCCACATGTTATGAGTATGGATTTATGGGATGGAAGATGGTTCTAAGTCCAAGAACGGACTTAGAAGCCAAAACGACCGGTTCACCGGGAAATGACCTTTTAGAGGTTATTTGTATTAATATGGGTTTTATGATTATAAAACCTTGTTAGGCACTTGTAAAGGGTGTTTCAAGTGATTTCACAAAGTTGGAAAAGTCGCCGGAGTTGTCGCCGGAGTTGACCAAAAGTCGCCGGAGTTTCACCGGAGTTCAACCAAGAAGGGTAGAACTTCATACGCTAGTTCAAGGTGAGTGGACGGCTTAATATCTTATAACTTTTGGGTTAATTATGAGATTACCTAAATAAATGTTATATGTTTTCATAATGATGTTTAAAAGATATTTAAACATGTGATTAGCCAACATTATCAAGTTGTATGAAAAGAATTAATTGATTATGCATGAAATATGATATGAGAGATTATATAAAATGCACATTAGCTTGAAGTGTAAAAGAAGCTCAAATGAGTGTTATTGACTTAATTATATGATGATTAAGTTGATATGAACAAGGCTTGAATTGGCGGTCAACGACAACGTTGACCGATGGATGATGGATTAATTAATATCGGTTGATGTTAGTTAATTATACATTTATTTAAATGCATGGCTTTGCATGGATTGTGATACATAAGAATTATGTATTGGATTAGTTATGAGTAACTAAGGATGATATAGACTCTATCTAGGTTGATAGGAGGTTGATCATAGGAAAACTTGGTGGAGGACCCTAGTACTTAAGAAGTACTTAACACTCAAACTTGGTGGAGGACCCTAGTACTTAAAAAGTACTTAACACTCAAACTTGGTGGAGGACCCTAGTACTTAAAAAGTACTTAACACTCAAACTTGGTGGAGGACCCTAGGACTTAAAGTCCTTAACACTCAAACTTGGTGGAGGACCCTAGTACTTAAAAAGTACTTAACACTCAAACTTGGTGGAGGACCCTAGGACTTAAAGTCCTTAACACTCAAACTTGGTGGAGGACCCTAGTACTTAAAAGTACTTAACACTCAAAACTTGGTGGAGGACCCTAGTACTTAAAAGTACTTAACACTCAAACTTGGTGGAGGACCCTAGGACTTATGAGTCCTTAACACTCACAAACCGGTGGAGTATCCAAGGATTATGATCCTAAAACTCATAGATTGTGATATACAAGTAGGGACAAGGAGGAGTCCTATACACTCATAGGTATATGGGTGGGTTGGGGTTTTTAGTCAAGAATATTGACTATTACTATTTTCCCGAATAAAATGGTGATCTACGGATCGGATATTTTCCAAGTATATATATACTAATAAGTATTTCATAACTTGGGGGAAAGATTATTTATTTAAGTATCACCCTATGTTTGGGTCTTATACTTGAAACGCTAGTTATTCTATATTTAGCCTGCTACTCGCTCGGTACTTGTACTGACCCCTTCGGGGGGCCCCACCATTTTCAGGTTGAAGCTAGAGCTTGCTACTTGCACCTTCTCACGGGTGATATCAAATCAGGGAGACGTGGTTCGTGCTTCCTTATTTTCTTTCAAACTACCGAACACTTGCTCATGGATATTTGTTTTACTACAAACTATTTTTGGGGCTTGCATGCCCATGTTGTCGGCCGGTTGTGGCCCATGACTTACCGTTGAATATTTCCGCTATTCATTGGTTTAATGTGATGTTGTTATGTATGTTTACTACTGAGTATGGATGGATTGTTTTCTCGAACGCCTTGTGTAATTAAGTGAGGTTGACCCGTGGGTGACGTCACTTAGTTATACGGCGGTTGTACACGCGCTTGGATTGCGGTCTGGGGCGTGACACAACTCCCACTGCATGAGCAATGTTTGGCCTTGTTGACACCATCGCATACATCAAACTGCCAACTGCTGATGCATAAGGAACTTTAGCCATCTCATCTTTGTCTTCATCGGTCTTCGGAGACTGTTGCTTGGAGAGTTTCAACTGACTCCCTAACGGTGTACTCCTTGGCTTGGCATCCGTCATTCTGAACTTCTCAAGGACCTTCTGAATGTACTTCTGCTGTGAAAGCTTTAAAGTACCTTCCACCTTGTCTCTGACTATGCTCATCCCAAGAATCAGTCTCGCCTCCCCTAAATCCTTCATCTCAAATTCTTCAGACAACTTCTTCTTGAGCTTGTTGATCTCCTGCATGTTTGCTCCAGCCACCAACATGTCATCAACATACAAAAGAAGAATAATGTATGAAGACTCGAATTTCTTCATGTAACAGCAATGGTCCATCTTGCATCTAGTGTACCCATTCCGCTGCATAAAACTGTCAAACTTCAAGTACCACTGTCTAGGAGCTTGCTTCAGTCCGTATAGACTCTTCTTGAGTTTGCACACCAACTTCTCCTTACCACTCACTGGGAAACCTACTGGTTGAGCCATGTAAATGTCTTCTTCAAGGTTGCCATGAAGAAAGGCAGTCTTTACATCCAGCTGCTCCAAATGCAAATTTTCAGCAGCAACGATACCAAGGATCAACCTGATAGTAGTCATCTTCACAACCGGAGAGAAGATTTCATTGTAATCAACTCCCTTCTTCTGTTGGAACCCTTTCACAACTAACCTCGCCTTGTATCTTTTGCTTCCATCTGCTTCATCTTTGATTCTGAACACCCACTTGTTCTCCAAAGCTTTCTTTCCCGGTGGTAGCTTGACTAAGGACCAAGTTTGGTTCTTGTCAAGTGAATCTAACTCATCCTCCATGGCCTTCTTCCACTGTATGGAATCTTTCATGGTCAGCGCCTCTGAGTAAGATTCTGGCTCTCCATTCTCGGTCAGCAACAGATAATTTGCTGAAGGAGAATATCTGTTAGGAGGTCTTCTGATTCTAGTGGACTGTCTGACTTGAGGAGTAGCTGCCTCTGAATTTTCACCATCTTCATCACTCCCACTATCTTCAGACATTCCTGTATCTCCTGAGCTCCCACTGCTCCCTGAGCCTCCAGTCATCTCATCACAACCAGCAGGTTGTGTTATGTCATCTTCAGTCATCCCGTCAAACACCACTTGTTGCTTGTTTTCTGGTTGCTTGGCTTTGCTAGTTTCTGCTGCAAGACCATCTTTATACAGGGCATTCTCGTTGAAAGTGACATCTCTAATTCTGATAACCTTCTTGCTGTGGTTATCCCAGAACCTGTAGCCCATGTCATCCATCCCGTACCCAATAAAGATACACTTCTTTGCCTTTGCCTCGAGCTTGTCACTATCTGCATCTCTAACTTTGACATAAGAAATACAACCAAAAACTTTCAAGTGAGTAAGAGATACCTCTCGACCTTTCCATTCCTCTTCTGGAATTTTGAAACCTATGGGAGATGAGGGTCCTCTGTTGATCAAGTATGCTGCTGTGTTCACCGCATCGGCCCAGAACATCTTTGGAAGTCCTGCATGCAATCTCATGCTCCTGGCCCTCTCATTCAGTGTTCTGTTCATCCTTTCTGCAACACCATTTTGCTGTGGTGTTTCTGGAACAGTCTTCAGCATTCTGATCCCCTGTTCAGCACAATACTCTACAAACTCTGTGCTACTGTACTCACCCCCATTATCACTCTTTAAACACTTAATCTTGAGATTTGTTTCATTCTCAACTGCAGCTTTGAACTTCTTAAAAGTGTTAAAGACATCGGATTTATTTTTACGAAAATAAACCCATACCTTCCGTGTAGAGTCATCAATGAATGTAACATAGTAACGGGAACCTCCAATCGAAGAGACCTTTGTAGGTCCGTAGACATCTGAATGAATCAACTCCAGCCGCTAAGTCTTGGGTTGCTGTCCTGTCTTCACAAAGGTTACCCTCTTTTGTTTGCCTAGAACACATGGCTCACAAAAGCTCAACTTTGAATTCTTCAAATCTGGGATTTTGCCCTTTGAAGACAGCATCTTCATTCCGTTCTCACTTATGTGCCCAAGTCTTTGGTGCCACAAAGTAGAGACCCCTGTATCTTCAACTCCTACGTTTGCCCCATCTGTGGACACTTCAACCATGTACAGTGTACCATGCTTCTGCCCACGAGCAATGACCAGCTTTCCCTTGTTACCTTCCATTGCTTGTTGCCAAAACTAACGTTATGGCCTTCCTCATCAAGCTGTCCCACTGAGATCAACATCTTCTTCAGGTCTGGAATATACCTCACATCTTTCAGCCTCCAGGTTGTACCCAAAGAGGTACTGAGATCAACATCTCCAATACCCGTGATCTCCAGGGATTTGTCATCCGCCAAACGAACTCTTCCGTTGTAGGGCCTGAAATTTTTCATCAAATCCCTGCAATGACAAGCATGAAACGACGCACCTGAATCCATGATCCAGGACTCAACTGAATTCTCAACGCTGCAAATTAGAACATCTTCATAATCCTCTGCCACGTTCACCTCCTTCTTGCCTTTGTCTGCAGGGGGTTTTGGGCACTGATTTCTGAAGTGTCCATTCTCTTTGCAATTCCAACAATTGATGTCCTTCCGGTTCTTGGATTGCCCTCTCTTTCTCGACTTCGATCTTCCCTTCTTGTTACCTCCTCTAGTGGATTTTCTGCCCCTATCTTCAGTACTCAACAAACTGTTGGAGCTATCCCCCGAACTCCTCCTCCGGATATCCTCACCAAGGATTAAGTCACGAATACCTTCAAAGGTAAGCTTAGTGGTTCCAGATGAACTACTAACCGCTGTGACTGTACCGGACCAACTATCGGGCAAAGATGATAACAAAAGTAATGCTTGGACTTCATCATCAAATTTAATCTCAACCGAGCCTAACCTGGATATGATTGAATTAAACTCGTTGATGTGATCTGCCACGGATGCACCTTCCTTCATTCTTGTATTCACCAACTGTCTAATCAAGAAAACCTTGTTTGCTGCTGAGGGTTTCTCATACATGTTGGATAACGCCTTGAGCAGTCCAAACGTTGTCTTCTCGTTGACGATGTTGTAGGCAACGTTCTTCGCCAACGACAACCTCACCACACCAAGAGCCTGTCGATCCAACAAATTCCATTCCGCCTCCGTCATCGTTTCTGGTTTGTTCTCAGACAACGGTTGATGAAGCTTCTTCTGGTAGAGATAATCCTCGATCTGCATCTTCCAGAAAGCGAAATCTTGACCATCAAATTTATCGATCTTAACCTTCCCTTCGTCAGCCATAGCTCTGATACCAATTGTTACGATTTAGGTTAAGCAAACGATAAATTAAGAACAAGAACACAAGAATTAACGTGGTTCACACAATCGGGTTGATTGTGCTAGTCCACGGCGAACGAGAGAGAGTATGTATTATTATCAGCGTCCCAAGAGATTTACAAGTACATAAGAGTCGTTTAAATAGGTTTAAGAAAACCTAAACTGAGATTAGAGCCGCAGGCCCAAAATTAAGCCTGTAATTAAAAATCCCGTCGTCTGACCCGGTCGGGTCTCTTATTTGACCCGGTCGGGTCTCCTTCACAGAACACAAACCCGGTAGAAACCAGGTCGGGTTTCCAAAACAGAAGCTCGGAGATCAACTGACCCGGTCGGGTCCTTCATCTGACCCGGTCGGGTCTCACATTCCAGAAAGTCCCCAGGTCTCTGCTTCAACATACCCGGTCGGGTCCTTCATCTGACCCGGTCGGGTATCAGTTCTGAAACTCTGAACAAGACTCCATCTTCAACAAACATACCCACTAAGCTGATGTGGGACACCAGATACAATCACACATGAATATGGAGTAGTGACTAATACTCCGTAGCTATTAGAACTTCAAAAGCAATGGTAAAATAGTGCAACAGTCTTACTACATTGGATGTGGATTGCACATCTTTAATCACGGAAGGAGAGGCGTGTGGTAGGGTCTATGTTGGAGCAAAGTCACTATCAAACATCACTGCAAAAAAATGATACCAGGAATGAAATATTGAAAAACTTATGAATTTTAAGAGTTTAAACTTATGAACTACAAAAAAATAGCCCACACCCCCGGAATGTATTGATTTTGTTTATGATTGGTTGCTATAAGTCACAGCTAATTGTCAAGTACATTGAACTTTAAGAGTTTGATTGTTGTACATTATTCCTAGCAATGAGCCAGTACTATACAACCCCATAGTTTACAACATGTTTGGAGACTTTAGTGTTTAGACCGATGGCACCAATATTTCTTTCTCTTTACTTGGTTATTATATTACTCCATTTTATTGGATGTCTTGTTTTGTGTGTCATTGAAACATGTAGTTACTTACACAGCTTACTCTATTTCTATGTGTCAAAAGTCGACAAGTCAACAAATATTATTTTTAATATGGACATTGATCGGACTGAACTTGCAAGTGTACAAGTGCCGATATAGTAATAAATTCCAGTGAAATACCGGGTCGAATCCATAGGGAAACGTTGTTTAATTTAGTCCGAGAGTAGATGACTATAAATAAATAAGTGAGTAAGGTGCATGGATTTTGAGTTGTGTGTTGTTGTGAGAACAACAACTTGGTTCTTTTTAATTTTCAGAGATATAACTTAAATTAATTTGATTAAAGTAATTGATAACAACAACTAAGGCTTCGGGAATCAATTAAATGCTTTAATAGGGTTGGATATTAGTTCTTTGCCAATAATTATGAATACAATATCGCTAATATATTTTCAACTCCGGTTAAGGCAACGACAGCGTGGTTTTCGTTACGTGTAAGTCCCGTTACGGCTTACATT